CCTCCAGCTGACATCATAATTATAAAGAACTCAACGGACAGAATAATTGCTAAAATTCCAGCGGAAGTCTTCGTTAGAGTTCACTTAAAGTTCTTAAAGATTTTTGTTTTAAAGTGTGTGTGTGTGTGTGTGTGTGTGTGTGTGTGTGTGTGTGTGTGCATGTGTATTCCTGAATGCAGGTATGTTTGAAGGAGAAGATGGCATCAGACACTGTGGAGCCGGAGTTACAAGTAGTTGTGGGGCACAGAACATGAGTCCCGGGAACCAAAGAGATCCTCTAAAAGATCAATAAATGTTTTTAATTGCCGATCATCTCTCTGCGTGGCGTGCAAATTCTTTAGCTTCATCTGTTTGGCTTTTTATATGACATATTTGAGTTGGCCCTTTTATTGGTTATCGCATGTGCTCAGAGCACATTCCTATATCACCAGTAGTTACCAGTTCACCTTAAATTGATGGAAACTGTAATATTTGCTGAGGTCTAACAGGCATGTCCAGTTGCTTGCCATTGCAGCACGATGTCATTTGCAAAGTCGACACACAAAAGCTACACAGTTACCTGCATAAGATTAAATATAGACCTACACCAATCTAATGATATTTTATGTTGTAATGGGCTGTGCCACAGTCATAGCTATCCTCAGCAACATCTAGCTGGCAGGCCTTCAGAACATCCTAGATTTTGTCTGGTTTAAGGATGTATTTTATAGATGAGGAAATTATGGGACCCAACTAAAAGGGTAGGTGTTGCATCTACGACATATTATTATCTGATATATGATATGACATGGTACGCCATAACGTTATATCACATAACATGATAAGCCTCAGCCCAGCTACTGTCTCCGTCTCCTAGTTAACTGTTTGGTCTATGTCAGCCAGACACAGAGACAAGCAAAATGCTACAGAAAGCAGCATTTTGGGTTATCCAGCCTAGTTCTGTTTTATTCATCCTCTCATATTAGATACTAAGACATTTATGAGCTAATAATTTGGAACTTCGGTGCCTGATGAACTTCAGAAGAAACTCAGTTAAAAAAAAACAAAAAACAAAAAACCCACAAAAACAAAACAAAACAAAAACAACAACAACAAAAATAAACGAAGAAAGCATGAAAGGTGGTCACAAAACTTGGTAAGTTAGCCACAGTTCTGCTGGATCACTATGGGGAACAGAAAATGCTGTGGAAACAGAAAACTGTCCAAGTGATGTGCATAAATGCAGAGACATATGAAAAGCTAGAATAAGGCTTTACCAACATGAACCATTATAAAAAGGAGACACACACACACACACACACACACACACACACACACACACACACCTCTTCTGAGACAGCCACATCCCCTCTCCAAATGATGACTGGCAGAAACAATAATAAAACCCATCCCCAAAGGCAGCTTTTCATTTTGCCTTTGATACTGTTGGAGGTACACAGAGCCTTTCTACCAAGGGAGCGGGTTGGGAATAGACTAATTAATTTGTCAATATCGTGCTCCGTTAGCTTGCACACATTTGCAATTTTTTTCCAGCTTTTAAATTATACACTGGGAATCAAAACTTTGAAAAGCCCAGCTAAACCAACAAGGGATTCTGAAGTCACATGAAAAAAAAAAAAAAAACGGTTATGACAGTGAGCAAACTGTGTCGCTTTACAAAGGAACTGAGCTCTTCGACATCCGGAGACAATTAACCTCACCGGTATGTGATAATCATACTAAACTGTTCCAGGCTCCCTTCAGTCCCTCTGGACAGATAAAGTGTCACATTCACATTTAATGACAGTTTTTCCTCAAAATCATTTCCTACGTGTTAATTAAATGCCTTTCTCTTCCCTTTGGCAAAAGTGTCCACTTCATTGTGAGGTTCTATATTCCTAAAATGAAACTGATCCCATTTTTAGAAAATAATGTTTTGCTAGCAGCTGAAGTGGGAGACTCAGGGTTTCCCCGGACTCACAGCAGGGAATCATGGTACTCTTTGCCATGGGAGTGTTACTGTTTACTCTACATGTGGGAAGATGGGCAGCTTGGGATGTAGCCAGTACAGCCTCACTCCAAGGCTCTCCATAGGGTGGCCCCGACTGTGCCACAGTTCTAGAAACAGTTTGTACAACGGTCCATGATCAAGAAAGATGGTCCCAAGAGCTATGCTTTCTCAAGCAATGAGCCTCAAGGTCAGAAGTGATATTTACTTTTATGTGTCCCAAGTTACTAACAAAATATATAACTCATTTGTCTAATGACCTCTATCCCTCGCTGGACATTCTGGAAACCTCTTCTAGAGGACCACTTCTATACATCTATTCTGGAATGGAAAGAGTTAAACCAGAATGCAGTCATATGAAATGACCTTATAAGAGAGTGTGTGAGAAAGCGGTATGCACGGGGATACCATACATTCTTCTTCTAAGAGTCACTTTGTATATATGTAACACAGAAATGGTAACACCCATCTCGGAGGGCAGTTTCTCTTTCACTCATTTAAAGAGGGGTGTGAGTTACAGTGTCTCACTATGCAGCCCAGACTGGAAATTACGTGGCTTCCACGCTGAGAGAATGCGGATGGCACAAGCTTATGGAACGCTCTTCAAACAGCACTGGCTCTGGAAACTTTAAATGCCTTTTCTAATGTTCAAGCACAGACTGGATTAGAACTATGATTTTCTTTTTAGTATTCTGCTCCTGGAGCCACTAATTTATACCGTCTGTCTTCACATGAAGAGACATTTGAGAACCCTTCCTGTGTTCCAAACCATGAGACCAGGGGATACTGTGGTAGATGGGTGGTCCCAACACAATCTGACACTATTCTACTACCTTGGAAAAGGTGCGTGTGTGTGTGTGTGTGTGTGTGTGTGTGTGTGTGTGTGTGTTCAACTGAATAAATCCCCTTGATAAGCATTCACCACACAGCAGAAATTCCTGCACATTCTTGTGAATAAAGAGAGTTTATTTTCTCTTTACCAGTCGATTGCTGTCTAAACAAAGAAAAGTTTATAGCCAAGATCTCTAAAACTTTGCTGGATTTATGTTTTAAGTGTCTGGCATCTAGAACACAGACATTCTGAATTAAAGATCAATGCACAAAATAAGGAGCTCAGTCTTCAAAATCCCAGTCCCACATATAGTCTTCTCAAGGATTTTTGAACAAGCAATAAAGAGAAAGAATTAGCTTTCCTTTCTGATAGATCAACATGTGTGAGAAAAGAGACCGGCAACCACAGATACACATCTATTTTGTGCAATGTTTCTGCTCATGTGAAGACTCCAAAACAGTACACTGTGTACCTGCAAGCCTCCTTTCTGATCATTAAATTATCAATTTGGCCTTTGTAATCATGTTAATAGAAAATGAGTTCCTACTTAGCATTTAATGTGGAACCCTCTGATAGAAAAAGAAAAAAGAAAAAGAATTATACATATGAAGAAGATTGTGAGGAGGAAGAAGGCATGACTTAATTCTTCACACAGGCTGTCATTTCTCAGGGGTATTTTGTTTTTTAGAGGCATGTAAGTCATGTGACTATCAGAGCCCTAGCATGTCTTTGCTGATATTTGGAAATATCAGATAGAAGGTGTATGCATTTCACTGTCAAAGGGTGACTAAGTCAGAAGCTGAAAGTAAGCACCAAACTTACCCCAGCAGGGAAAAACACAGGTGACAGCAGTGTCATGGCTATACCTAATTTGATCCTTACCAGACCAACACTTTCATCTCTCCTGAGATCATGGCCTAAGGGTGTTCCATGGTGCCACAAGAAGGGGTCTAACTCCACAACTAGCAGCCTTGTTCTCCTGTCTCCCACAACCCTCTGTATCATAAGAGAGTATTGTTTTCTTTTGATTTTTTTCTCCCATTCTCCTTTTATGAGAGAGACAGAGAAAGAGGGAGACTCAAAATTTCATGCATAAGCTAACATTAGACTATTGTAAGACACCTCACAATATTCTCTGGATATGCCATGTGCTCCTATTAAACTATTTTCCACAGCTACAAATCTGACCCTATTCCTCTATACAAATAAACATATCAACTGGAATCTGAATAAGGCTAGCCCCTGAACCCTCAGCCTCTAGAAACTTTCTACTTTTCTCCTCTTAGACTTCTAAGACAGAAGTCCCTCTTCCACATGTTTGTCATGAGATGTACAGGCAATTTTGCAAATGTCAGAAGGCAATATCTATCTGATTTACTATACTTGTACGTGATTGTTTGGGTCATTTTTTCCTTCCCTATTCTTCCTCGACAGCCTCCATATGTACAAAAATAAACAGTTGTGCACACAGAGTGATATACATGCGCTGATAGTAATTAGATTCATCTAACAAATTATTTATAGAGTAAATATGTTTGAATAAAAGCCAACACAAACAGTTTTTGTTGATTACTCTTTAATTACTGTAAGCATGATTTTTATCATTTTAAAAACTATGAGATTTCTTTAACTCAAATTTAAGAGTCTGCCCCAGTATAGGCATATATCCAAGAAAAATAAAATGATAGCTCTTTCTAAAGAATTTAATAAAGAAAATTTATCAGCAGCTTCCCATAAACACAGAAATAGAGATAGATAGATAGATAGATAGATAGATAGATAGATAGATAGATAGATAGATAAACATAAAACCATGTAAGACACAGGAAAATCTATTTACTCATCTTCTTACCTGAGTCTTTTATGGAACAGATATCTAAAACAACTTCTATTTCTTTTCTAGTGGACACCAGCCCAATTCTCTGTCCACTTTGCCATGCTGCTTTCTGCCCATCTGATCCTTATTGGAGCACTGTAGCCTTTATTCAGTTTCCCCCATTATACCCTGATCTGTTCCAACACATTCCATAAACTTATAGTGAAATAAAAGATATCCCTTAAGAGGCAAAAGACACAGAGAAAAGCAAAGGCAGTTGAGGGATAAGAGAATAAAAATAATCTACCTTAAAATATAACCACATTTGCCTTAAAAATTAAGAAGTTAAAGCTGCACATTCATACCTTTTTAGTCTTAATCTTCTTGAATCTTAAACACAAATGTCAGAGTAACATTGGGATTGAAATAATGTTCTCAGGTTCCCACCGCAGCAAGAGTCTCCTTAACTTCCACACAGGTTCCAAGTTCCTGAGGACGGCAGGTTCTTCTAGGTCTACAAAATCACAAGAAAAATATTTGCACACTCAAAACAGAAATCAGCAGAGTAATACTAAATCTGAGACCATTTTCTCTAGAAAATACACGTAAATCACTCATATGGCAAATAAGAATTCAGTGCTGAATGATTGAAAACTCATCCCAGACACAAACACGCATTCATACCACACCATGAGCAGCATCAGCACCATTAATAACCACTACCGCCTCCACCAGCACTACCGTCATGTTCACTTCCATCAGAACCACTACAAACAACACCAGGACCAGCACCGCAGTTACCACATCATCGCTACCACCACCACCACCACCAATTATAGTACTACACTTGAAAAGAGCCTTCTAGGACACAACAATTGCCATTTGCTCATTCGTTTTAGAGGGAAAGAAAGAATTGGAGAGAAGTGATTTTTCCCATGATGTCATTCATTCCTTGTCAGTCATTCATTACCATGGTGTGGTATAAGTGAATGAATACCACTTTGATAAAGAGTATGAGCTTATTCCTGTTCTATGACAAAGTGACAGTAAAGGATAGAAGGACATCACTCCATCTCTATAACTCTCCTCATTTGCATCTAAGATTCAAAACCACGTGTTACCACTGGCCACTCCATCATGAGTATCTCCGGGACATCATTGTAGTGTCCTTGTTTCTAATAAAAGGGCACTGTTCCTGAGCCTCTTCTCTACGTACTCTCTCACTAAATGCCTCCTCTAGTTCCTTGACTTGAGTTGTCACATTATCAAATCTGCGATTTTTCTCTAGTCCTAGATAGTTTCCTCAAATCCAAACTTTCCCATTGGCCAATTATTCAATAACTCTACCTAGAATTCTAGTAGACATATCCAATTAACTAGAGCAAACTTAGGTCATGTGTCTGTTAGCCACTATCACCCCTCTCCTGAAATAAGTAAAGCCTATGTGTTTCCTCCTTTATTCCTTCTTAGTAGGTGGCGATTTCTTTTCCCTTCTTCACCTTCCCTCTATCTTCTCCCTGCTTCCCCCCTGTCTCATTCCTTCCCTCCCTTCCTCTGTCTTAGATATGCCTAATGTTCTATACTCCATCAGAAAATCCTCCTGGCCCTTTCTTCAGAAAAGATGCAGCTGCCAACCTTATCTTACTATCCTCTTTGCTACCCATCCTGGTTTATAGCATAGTGGTTCCTCAGATTATGGCTACCACCCCCCACCAAGGGTCTGAGTAAAAGAGCATCACTTCCATTCTCAAGTCCATCTACTGCCATTCCAAGTCCTTAAATGGCCAAAAATGGTCAGTACTGATGCAGCAGTTCGTGCTGTCCTGTCAACCTACTCTTCCCCTCATAATTATTTCATGCAGGCATGCAGTTCTCTAGCACACCTCTGAATGCTTTTGAGCCTTTTGAACTTAACACTGACATTGCTTTTAACTCAGTGCACTCTTTTTTCGTCTTTAAGAATTTGCATCTTGCTTAGCTCTCACCTTCCTGTGTGTCTCTTAAAAATAACTTACATAAAACCATAAACTCTTACCACATCTATCATTCCTCTTTCTGTTTAAACTCAGGGAAGTCTTTCTGATATATGAAATATTTACTCATCAACTACTTGGTTTTCAACACTAAAACATAGTGTGTAAGGATCACTTTGTACTTAAACATGCCTTCTACAGGCTAGCATGCGTACTACAGCCTCCCTAATATAAACTTGGAACTCACTTTTTGAGTGAATGAATTAACAGTCTTTTTCAGGGCCACTTGGCAAGTATCTATCTGTATCTGATGTGAGCCCAAAGCATCCAGAAAATTATATAACAACGAGAACGTGAATGATTTCTAGTGTGAAGCTTAGAAAATGGCTTTAGATGACCTGGAAAGTAACCAACATATTTATTATAGCTATCTATAGAGATGATGTAAATGGAAATTCTAATTACCTACTTCTTAGAAATGAAAGATTATATTTTGACCACACCTAGATGTCCCTGCTCCTGCTATGAACTTCACTTTGTCTTTTTAATTTTCTCTGCCTTTACTCCCATGCAATCACTTTTATCCTTTCTTAAAGTCTCAGTTTATACCCTCTTGGGGGTGGGGCAGATATGAGAAAAATGAATTCAGGGCTACATGAGCAAAAGACAAGAGATGTGCTTACAGTTGGATAGTATAGGGCCAGAGTTCAAAGTACTTGGGATGTGGAACCAATTTGCTCATTAGTTTTCTTTGTGTGTTTGGGATGGCACCTTCTCCTTGGGAGTCTCTTTTCTCAAACTATGTATTCTCTAACATTTTAAGCTACATAAATAAAATGATTAGCATCCTGCTTTAATAATAGCACTCCTTTGTTTTCATGTCTATGATTACCGAAGAAACAGGGTGCAACGCTATTTAAAAACACTATCTATGAATACAGCTTAACGTACTGGTAAATGACATCACATCCCAGTGTCACAGGGTTAGACACCTCTGACAGTCTTTGCATGGTCACAGAAGTAACTGTTTCATCTGCTACGATGACATTCTTTCTTTTCTATAAATATCAAGACATTCAGATTTTTCCAAGACATATTTTTTTTCTATGAAATGCATCCTTTAAGATGTTTATGATGAAGACATGGCCACAGAGGTAAGTCATTCCCTATTGTGATGATGGAAGTCCTCAAGGGGTTTTGTTTCATTTGCCCGTTGCAGTCATGTATTCCACATGACATCTCATGACCTCATTTGCTTTCCTTTCATTTCCCTCCATTGTCTGGATCCTTCCTATCTTCTGTGGAATAGAACTGTTTCTATGGTTCACAGTGACTAGAGGCATATTTCTCTGCACCAAACCCACATGTGTGATATTACCCTGACTGCCCTCATATTAGGGGCAGTTGGCAGAACTTCATAACAGGAGTCAACTTTTCTGGTTCATTTCATGTCCTCTTGCTAATACCCAGTAATTTAGGGGTGATCTTGGCCATGGTTTTGCAGGAAGCTGATAATCAACTTGTCATAGCTTCAATTACTCCTGTATTCCAAAGCCAAGGGACACAACTTCAGAAGGCAAACAATGCTGCAATTCAGAATAATGATACCTATGGAGCTATTAAACAGAATGCGTTGACAATCTCGGTCTCAAATCTAGCCAAACATCTCTGCTTTCTTGTTCCCAACTTCTGTCAGGAATAGTCTATGTTAGGGTGGAAACAAAACAAAAATGTGTCAGCTCCTTTTCTATCTTAGTTATACCTGACCTAAGCAACATTTAAGGTTTTTTAGAGGAAAAATAAAGGACAAGCTATCCTAGATCAGGTAAGGACATGGTGAAAGGTGGATTTACTCAACACGTGCTTACTTGGCACGTAGTTTGCTGTGCACTTTATTAAGGGCTGAGAATACCGTAGGAACCACTGACCACTTTAATTTTGACTTCGTGAAGCATACACTCCTAATACTATTCTTCAAGCTTTTGAATTTCCTAACTTTAACCCAGATGTGCAAAATGTGACATATCATATCCTCCCCACTCAACCCCTGCAGCTGATTCTCTTGTGTGGTAAGGAAGCATGTGTAGACTTAAACATCTCAAATCTTGAAAAACATATTAAATGCTTGAAGAGAGGCAATTCTAGATTTACTTCCCTTTTGTGAATGTTTTTACTTGTTTCTTTTTCTTCTCTCTTCCTCTTCCTCTTTCCTCATCACCTTTTTCTCTCTTTTTCCTCTAGCTTTTGAAGATAGATTCTTACTAAGTTTCCCAGGCTAGCTTTGAAGCCCACTCTGTAGCCCACAAATCTACTGAACTTGTAATTTACCTGCCTCAGTCTCCAAATATCTAGGATTATAGGATTGGAAGCCTATGTAATCAGACCATGATAATTATTGGTTTTCTTGAGAACTGGTTTATTTCCTTAGTTTGCTCACCAGACCTCATCCAACTCACACTTTTTCTGAGTTTTTGTTGTGAAGTAAGAACAGACTGGAGATATTGACAAAATCATTAATGTCAAGAAAAAAAAAACAAATTTCTCAATCACCAGCATTTCCCAGGGTGCATGACTAATCATAGAGGCAAGTGGCATCTTGCCTAGTGGGCAGCCTTGCCTGCTTCAGAGAACATGTCACTCTTCAAGAGGTATCAATTAGTGGCTGATCTGAGAGCAGTCTGAACCACACCTCTTTAATGGCTGGGTTGTCTTAAAAGCCATCCCTTGTGAAGATAACACACACATACACAAAAACCAAGCCACAGATCCAAATGCACAAAGACACACTTCCCAAGGAGGCAGTTGTCCAGAGAAGTAAGGTCAGGCAAAGCAGGCCACAGAGGTCTTAGGGGCACTGAATGTGTACTTATCAACACCATGGAATGGAGGTGAATTAGGAGAAAGGGTAGAATACAAATTGCAACCTAAAATTTTAAGTTTAAAACAATGCTGACCAAGTCTAATGGGGACTATTGCTCCAAAGACTCACTTCCCAAGAAGTGTGGCATCAGGTGTGCCCTATAGGCCCATGAGATTTTCCACCTCCATGTTGCTGGGCATGCTTCACAGCATTATAGACAGTATGGCTGCCACCTACATAGAAGAAGACTTGCGTCTGAAAACTTAGTGATTCTGATTGCAGTCAAATAAATACATCATGAAAATGTCAGGATTCAAATTCAGAAATGTCCCCAAATCATTCTTCACTGAGAATAAGTAGACTGCTTTCAACATTTTTTTTTATTAACTCCAGACCTGACACTCCAAAATATCCCAACTCCTATGAAAAGAAACAGTGCTCAGAAACACAGCTGAAAACTGACCTGCTTGATCCCTATGTGTTTGTTTGTTTGTTTGTTTGTTTACCAGTTCTGAAAGTATCCCAGAACTGGGAATACCGCAATTAGCAATGACAACAAACCCTGCTCCACATCACTTTGGGTTGTCTTCTTACATCTGTGTGCAGACCGG